AAAGCAGGAACCTGGCTGCTGTGGCTGGTCCCTGCTTTGGAACTTGAATTGTGTGCATCCCTCTGTGTCCTGATACCTCCTGGCTCACTAGGCATTAGGAGTAGCACCCCACCTTCCCTCCTCTCTGAGTCATGAGCTCCGCTTTTCCGCTTGAGCTTGGGATTTATCTGCAGACAAGGGCTTCTTCCTCAGGGACACAGCAAGGTGGTCCTGCCCCAACATCCCCCACGAACCAGCCTCATCCCACAGGGCTCTGGACCGATTCTGGCTCAGGGCTGGGTCCCAGTGGGAAAGGAGGCAGGATCCCAGTGCTCTCTGTGGCTGAACACAGGGCATTGTGTGCCCAGCCAACAAGGGAGCAGGATGCCCAAGCATCCACGCCATGACCAGCATGTGTGTTTTCTTGTTGTCAGGTTCCCTTCAGCAGCTTCAAGCTGTGTACCCCCTAAAATGTGAAAAGCTGAGGAGGGAGGGGGCAGATGTGTTGGGCAAACCCTCTGCCCTCCCGTCTTACTGCCTGGCTCTGCTGAGGGCTGCCTCTTGCTCTGTGCAAGTGATCCTGAGCCCCTTGGTTGTGTGGTCTGTCCCAGTAGTCCCTGTGGTGAGGTCTCCTGGGAGCAGCCTGCTGCACTGGTGCCTCTCCTACGTGGGATTAGCAGCAGCTCACAGTTGTGCTGGCTCCTCAGCCTGCTGAAAGCTGCTCCTACCCTTTCCTCCCGGGCTGCAGGACATGCTGAGCAGCACGCTGGTAATGGCAGCGCCTGCCTGAACTCGGCAGGAAAGTGTTGTTGGATGGTGTTGGATGTCAAGGAGGGAAGGGAGCTGGCGCTTACGGCAGCCCCAGTATCCCAGAATGGGAGGGCCTAGAGGGAATGAGCAACAGGGGAAGAAAGCGGGAAGGAGGGACAGAGTGAAAGGGGGAAACTCGTCTGCTGGGGGGAGGGGGTAGTGGTTAGTGCTCAGCTGGACTGGAGGGGCTCTGAGCATAGAGGCTTCCTTGTCTGCAAGGGTAGGCAGCTCCTCTTGGTATCCTACTATATTTTCTCGCTGGGACCCCTGCAAGGAGTCCTCATCTTGCGTGTTAATTCCCAGGGTGCTCATTGCAGCAGCAGGGTTGTTCACCCCACATTTTTGGAAGAGCTTTGCTGGGGCTGTGGGTGCTCAGAGGCAGGGCAGGGCGTGCAAGGAGCTGCAGCACCCACTGCCAAGGGGCAGCTGCATCTGTTGGGAGTGGCAGGCGGTCCGGCGCGGAAACCTGGCACCAAGCAGCTTATCTAAGGGAGAAGATGAGCTCCGGTGGGGAGTGTGGGAGGCAGGCTGAAATTACACACATCAGCATTTGGGCAGGGCAGTGGGTTAATGCTCATGGCAAAGGGCGGTGAGATTGCCAATGCCCCATGTGGAAGGGACTGAAGCACTGCAGGGCTCCTCTGAGGACAGGGCAAATCCTGAGAGCCCAACCCAGCACCCAGGCTGGGCTCACCTCGATGCTCTCTTGCAGTGCTTGGTGCCTGTGCCAAGGTGGCTCAACCCTGCACAGCTCTGCTTGAGAGGTGCCTCCATCCCTGAGCAGGTGGCCTCGTTGTGCCAAAGCTGCACCCAGATCCATGGGATGGGAAAACACCTGGATGGCTTCAGTGTGTGGATAAGTGCTCATGAGCCCTTCTGGCTCTGATGCCAAGAGACCCCCAGGGAAGTCTGTGGTGTTGGGATGGTTTGGACTGATTCCTGGGTGCAGCTGCAGCCTTCAGGGTGTTAAAAGCTGCTAATCTGAGCTGGTGGGAGGCTGCAAGGAAGGTCTGGAACCCCCTTGGCTGTGGGAACCTGTGGGTGTGGGGAGATGTGGGAGCCTGGGGTGGCATTGCAGGTGCCAGCATGGTGCTGTTGCTCAATCTATGATGTGATGTTTGAGTTGCTTTCTGTCAAGGCAGAGTCCTCTGAGATGAGCAGAAAGTGGGGTGCTGGGGGCGGACTATGCCAGTTGAGGCATGTGCAGTGAGCCAAGGAACTTCGTGCTGGCCCAGGGCTGCTGTGCCTCACCTGTGCCAAGACTGTCCCCAGGCCATGCAAGATAGGTGGGGCAGGAGAGTGGGAAAAGGGTCAGTATAGTCTGGGTTTTGGTGCATTGTCAGTGTCTGGGGAGCATGTACCCTTTGTGTGATCAAGGCAAGCAGGAGGAACCCCAGCTGGGTGCATCCCAGGGCAGTGTCATGGAAGTGGGCATGGAGGGGGCCTGTCCCAGGATACGTGTGTTCCCGCCTAACACAGGCAGCTCTGGCTTGCCCAGCCCTCTGTATCCTGCCCTTTCTTCTTATGCCTTTGGGAGTACCTCCTGCCTGAGCAAGTGACTCTGGAGCGTCGCTGCTGATCTTCAGGAGAACTGCAGAGATGAGTCACTGGCCATGCTGGAGGGCTGTTCCCGTCTCTGCAACTCCCGGTGCCCCTGAGCACCCTCCAGCCCTTCCCACCCCAATTTTGCTGGGCTCTAGAGCAGCAGCTGCACCAAAGGCCCCCAGCAGCACCCTTGCCTGGATCCTTGCTGAGATGAGGGCAGGATCCCACTGAGCTTGAGGCCTTGCATAGGACATCCGGGCCTGGGAAAGTGTGTCTGTTCCTTTCTCACCCCTGAGCTGGAGTCAGCACCCACTGCCAAGGTGCAGCTGCATCTGTTGTGAGTGGCAGCAGTTCAGCAGCAAGGAAACCTGGCACCAAGCAGCTTATCTAAGGGAGAAGATGAGCTCCGGTGGGGAGTGTGGGAGGCAGGCTGAAATTACACACATCAGCATTTGGGCAGGGCAGTGGGTTAATGCTCATGGCAAAGGGCGGTGAGATTGCCAATGCCCCATGTGGAAGGGACTGAAGCACTGCAGGGCTCCTCTGAGGACAGGGCAAATCCTGAGAGCCCAACCCAGCACCCAGGCTGGGCTCACCTCGATGCTCTCTTGCAGTGCTTGGTGCCTGTGCCAAGGTGGCTCAACCCTGCACAGCTCTGCTTGAGAGGTGCCTCCATCCCTGAGCAGGTGGCCTCGTTGTGCCAAAGCTGCACCCAGATCCATGGGATGGGAAAACACCTGGATGGCTTCAGTGTGTGGATAAGTGCTCATGAGCCCTTCTGGCTCTGATGCCAAGAGACCCCCAGGGAAGTCTGTGGTGTTGGGATGGTTTGGACTGATTCCTGGGTGCAGCTGCAGCCTTCAGGGTGTTAAAAGCTGCTAATCTGAGCTGGTGGGAGGCTGCAAGGAAGGTCTGGAACCCCCTTGGCTGTGGGAACCTGTGGGTGTGGGGAGATGTGGGAGCCTGGGGTGGCATTGCAGGTGCCAGCATGGTGCTGTTGCTCAATCTATGATGTGATGTTTGAGTTGCTTTCTGTCAAGGCAGAGTCCTCTGAGATGAGCAGAAAGTGGGGTGCTGGGGGCGGACTATGCCAGTTGAGGCATGTGCAGTGAGCCAAGGAACTTCGTGCTGGCCCAGGGCTGCTGTGCCTCACCTGTGCCAAGACTGTCCCCAGGCCATGCAAGATAGGTGGGGCAGGAGAGTGGGAAAAGGGTCAGTATAGTCTGGGTTTTGGTGCATTGTCAGTGTCTGGGGAGCATGTACCCTTTGTGTGATCAAGGCAAGCAGGAGGAACCCCAGCTGGGTGCATCCCAGGGCAGTGTCATGGAAGTGGGCATGGAGGGGGCCTGTCCCAGGATACGTGTGTTCCCGCCTAACACAGGCAGCTCTGGCTTGCCCAGCCCTCTGTATCCTGCCCTTTCTTCTTATGCCTTTGGGAGTACCTCCTGCCTGAGCAAGTGACTCTGGAGCGTCGCTGCTGATCTTCAGGAGAACTGCAGAGATGAGTCACTGGCCATGCTGGAGGGCTGTTCCCGTCTCTGCAACTCCCGGTGCCCCTGAGCACCCTCCAGCCCTTCCCACCCCAATTTTGCTGGGCTCTAGAGCAGCAGCTGCACCAAAGGCCCCCAGCAGCACCCTTGCCTGGATCCTTGCTGAGATGAGGGCAGGATCCCACTGAGCTTGAGGCCTTGCATAGGACATCCGGGCCTGGGAAAGTGTGTCTGTTCCTTTCTCACCCCTGAGCTGGAGTCTTTTCCTATTAATAGCAAGTGGCTGTCAACCTCTGTTGTCAGCAGCAGGGACGGGGACCGGAGCAGCACTGGCTGAGCCCCTCCTGCATCCCAGCCAGGCTGGCAGACATTTGGCCCCACCAAGGGGCAGAGATGGTATCAGAGCTGGACTACACATGCCAAATGTCCTCCCACGCTGGGGAGATGATGGAAGTGATTGAAGGTGTTGCCCCTTGTTGCATGCACCCTTTCAACCCAAGCCTGTCCCAACCTGGCACCTTTTGCTCCTGCCCTCATGGCTGGAATATGCCAAGAGCCTGTCTGCAATTGCAAGCATGCTGGTAAGGTACAAGTCAGAGGAGAAGCCCGTGAATTACCAGTTGTGCCAGTGAGGGCAGGGGCATAATCCTTGTGGGCCACATTTCTCTAATTGGAGCAAGTCCAAGCCTCACATTCCTTTGCCTGGAGCTGATTGCATGCAGAAGGGCTGGTGATAGCCAAGGTGTTTGGCTGGGGGTTCTGAGACACCTCTAAAGTCAGCTCCAGTGACATGCTAGGAGCCTGGGCTTTGCTGGCAGCTCTGGAGCAAGATGATGGTTCAAGGACTGCTGTTGTACCCTCAGAACCTGCCCCAGCAGGGCTTTGCTCCCTCTAGATCTGCACACCAGGGAAACCCCCCAGCCATGGGAGGCTCAGGGCACATCCTATCTTGCCGAGGCTGCTGTGTGCCCCACAGGTGACACAGGACATGCAGGTGTTCTGGCATGGGCTCCCCATCCTCTCTCCTGCTTTTCCTAAGGAAAAAGTTTGTGTGTGGTGGGACCCTTATGCAGCTCTGTGCAGGAATCTGAGTGGTCAGGTGATGGGGGGGCAAGGGGCTGTGGGATGAGAGCTGGGTGCTTGGCCTGGCATGTTTTCCTGTGGAAGTCTGCCCCCATGGTAGGGGCACTTGCTGATGAGGAAGACAAGGCTTTGGTGCTCATTTGCTTTCCCTCCTGTGAGTCCCTGTGCTGCTTTTCCAAGCAGGAGAAGGGTGTCTGCATCGTGCAGTGCAGCTCACTGCCCAGACTCCTCCTGGTGTGGGACCTGCCCTTCCCCACACCCCTCCAGTGCTTCAGCATGGCAGGAGTGACACCAGGACAGCTGCTTCCCAGCTGATCTTGCTTACAGAGCCTGAGCAGGGAAGCAGCAGACCTGCCTTGTTAAGTGCTTTGTCTGGGGACAGTGGGAGGTTTTGGCTGCTCTGGAGTAGCTGCAAGAGCGTGTGTGCAGCTGCTCAATGACGGAAGCCAGTGTCTCTGATTTTTCCATTATAAGGATGATAAAGCGTCAAGCCCTGGGGTTTTCCTTCTCGTTGACAACTGCAGGAGACCTGGCCCTGCTCAGAGAGGCAGTGCCCTCTGGGAGCATCCCCCTCGCCAGGGCAGGGGCAGGAGTGGGAGAAAGGCAGGCTGGGATGTCGAAGATGGTGGGATCCCAGAGACCTGCTGCCAGGGCTGGGAGTGCTGCCTGGAAGAGGTGTGTTTGCTGCCAACCTTTCCCTTCCATTCATGTGGTTTCTTTCGTTTTTTTCAAGGTCCTGGCCACAGTCACTGGAGCTATGAAGGTAAATACCCTGCAGTTACTCCTGCTTTTTTCCTACCACCCAGCACACCCTGGGCCCAAGCCAGCTGTGGTTAATGATTAGAGGGCTCCTGTGCGCACTCCCCGGCTCACCTTTCCCTTCTGCCTGACCTGGTTGCCTCAGCAGTGACCAAACCTGGGCATGGATGTGCTGGGTGTTGCTCCCATTCGAGCAGGAAGCATTTGCTCCACCAAAGGTTTCCCCAGCCCCTTGTGTGTGGGGGAGTCCCCTCAGAGCAGGGGGCATCCCCTGCTCTGAACGGCAGGTCCCCTGATCTTGTGCCAAGTGGGGAAGGAAGCTATGCTCTCTAGGCTGGACTTACAGCCAGTGCTGAGACTTTGACCTGCCCAGGGATTAGCCTGTGTCCTTACCTCTGTCCCATGTCACCCTTCCTCCCCACCTCGCCACGGCTCCATCACTCCATCTGGGACCAGGGGCTGGCTTCAGCCTGCTAACCCCTGCCTCCATCTTCCCTGGGGTCCTCTGAGGGGCTAGGTTGGAGGCAAGCCTGGGCTTGCACTGGCCAAAGACGTGTTAGAAGCAGCTCCCTGCAGAACAAGAGCAGGCTTTTGGGGCATCAGCCGTTCTTATTCCAGCTGTGGCACTGGGGAGAGGTGCAAGTTCAAGGAGTCACCCCTGCTGTGTGAGCTGGCCCTTTGCAGGGCTGTACTGGTGCAGTTAACAGCTGGGAATCCATCAGACCTGTGGCTGTGGGCTTGTGTGATCCCAGTGGCAGTGTGGTACCTTGTTTGCAGAGCCAAGCAGGTGAAGTGGTGGCAGAGGCCAGGCTGTGCAAGGCAGCAAGCGTGTGATGAGCTACAGAGCAGCAGCTTCTCAGCTTGCCAAGTCCACTTGTAAATGATCTTCTTGCACTCTTCCCAAACACCCCAAAAATAGACTTCCCTGGCAGCTCACCATGCCCCAGGACCTTTCCTGGTACAGCTGTGTGCAGTCACATGGTGGTACAGAGCTGCTTCCTAGCTGACTTGATGGAAACTAACCTTACACATATGGCTTATTCCATGGCCAGTCCTTGTCCCCCTCACCATCAGTCACTGGCAGGCTCCTTGCCTGGGTGGTCTCACTGGTATTCTCTCCCTCCCCATACCAGAGCGGGAGCACTGGGGGGTGGATTACCCAGACTGTGCTGGCACTGTGCAGTCACCCATCAACATTGACGTGGCCAAGACCATCTTCAGCCCCCATCTGAGGCCGATCCAGCTCTCTGGCTACAGCCTGCCTGCCAATGAGAAGCTCAAGCTGAAGAACAATGGGCACACAGGTGGGTGCAAAGGCATGGGCAGAACTTGCTCAGCCTCTCCTGGCAGGACTTGCCTTCTCTGACACCCTTCCCCAAGGCTCTGGGAAGGAGATTCTCTTGCAGGCTGCAGTCATGTTGCCTTCAAGGCCGAAAGGGAAGCATCAGGCTGTTGAGCCTTTACAGACAGGTCCATGTGCTTTTCTGGCTGGAGGGGAGAAGCTGGGAGATGGGCAACTTGCCACTCTGCCTTTGGAAGCTGGCTCCAAGAATCTGTGAAAGCCCATGTGTCCTTTTAAAATGCAATCTTGATATTTCTGATGGAGGTTCTCAGCCACTGGTTGCTCTCCTGCATTTCACTTTCAAAGGACTAGTCAGTTTCTGATGTGATTTAGCCTTTAAGATACCTACCTCTCAGTCTTTAATACACAACACTGGCCAGCTTCTTTAAGTCTCTGCTTCAGGATGCTATCTCAATAATTTTTTATAGGTCTTTTGTGTCCCTTCTCCAATTTTAGAATGTTTTTTGGAAAGTCTGGACACACAACTTATTCACATTATTTTAGGATCAGTCTCACCACACATGGAGGATCAGTGCCACATGGAGGAAAAACACATCTCCATCCCACTCACCACTCCACAGCTGAGGATGTTGAGTCCTGGTTGCTACCAGCTTTTTCTGGGATCAAGCAGAGCGTTTTATGCATGCTGGTGCCTGCCAGTCCCAGAGCTAAGAAAAGGGGGCAGAGAAAGAGGCTTAAGATCTCACTGGGAGTGTGATAAGACTTGCCCTGGTAGCTAGTGAGATGGAGCTGACCTGTGTACAGCAAACTCAACAGGTTGGACTCGCTGTGCATGGTCGTATCAGCCGCATGGTGCATGCACAGAGCTTTATATTATGGCCTCCTGCCCTAGCATGCCTGCAGAGTTAAACCAGTTGAGCTCAGTAGTTGCTATTTTAGACACCCTGGCATCTAGAGTTGCTTGGTGTTTAGAAAAGCAGTCAGAGCATTTTCATTGGGGTGGGGGCAGGGGGGTATGTTTTTGCATGCTTATAATATACCTTTTTTTATTCTGGCAACTACTGGTCTACTTAGGAAAAGCCATAAATAAATAAAAAGTTGCAAGTCCAGTAGAATATTTGCACAGTTAATCCTTTTTGTCATATAAAGTGCATACACTGTATAAGTTTTTTCAAGGGCTTGAAAATGACTCAGGTAGCTAGTAAAAGGAAAGAAATCACTTAGATATACAAAAGAAATGTAAAAGCAGATAAATTACCAGGGAGGGAGCAGTCTTCCATTTCCTGTATTTGAGTTTTGTATCTCTGAACCCCATTTCACTGGGGAGGACAAATGACTCACCACAGCCCAGTGACGTGGTTGATCCCGAATCTGTGCCCTAGATCCATGATGTGACACAGGGACACTTCACCTATAAAGAAGGAGTAAGGAAAAGGTGCTTAGAAGGACAGGACAGCCTTTCTTAGAGTCCAGAGATGCTCCTGATACTTTTTGCCACGTGTCCAGGTAATACAGCTTTAACAATTGCCACAATGCTCCATGAGTCCAAGATAGGCTGGCTAAACCACACTGAAGTAAAAGGCAAAACCAAGTATGTATTTACCACATCCAAAGAGGCAAAATTTTAGCTCTAAATGTTTTCAAAAGATTGAATACTTCCATTCCACCACCTCAAATGCTGTCAGACACTCACAGGCTGCTTTATTTGAAAGGTCCCAGCTCACCAAGCATTGCAGCCCTCTCTGCTCAACTGCCCTGCTCTCCTAGGTATTCACGGCTCTGCCAGTATCTTTATCCATGAATTTTGTCCTTGGTCTCTTTATATTACTCTCACTTACTGAGTAAAACGTCGGATAACATTTGGCTTGGAGCTGGCCCCTGGGAGTCTCTGCAGAGGGGCTTGGCACTTTTCATCATTTTCGTAGCAGCTGTTTTGGAAGTTGATGCAGAACACCCCAGTAAATACAACCTGGAGTTGAAAGTTGAACCCTGCCCTATTGTCACAGCTCTGGTTATTGACTTGTCCAGAGCCTCATGAAAGATGGAAAACAAGTTTTGTTTGTTGTGAGAAATTTCCACAAGCCCACGGTGACTCTTTCCTTTGAGACGTCTCCTCTGCATACCTGTGGGATGGACTGGGCTTTGTGTTTTACTGACCAGCCTCTCCCTTCTGCCTCTGCAGTGGTCCTCAATCTGCCCGAGTCCCTGGCCATCACAGGAGGCTATGCCCAGCAGTACCGGGCCACGCAGCTGCACCTGCACTGGGGCTCCCCATTGGGACCTGGCTCAGAACACACCATCAACGGGCACCGCTTTGCTGCCGAGGTGAGGAGCCCTGGTGGTGGTGGATGCAGCTTCTCCCCTCCCAGTGCTGGGATGCGGTCTTGCTCCTAATCCGTGGGCCTGGTTGTCACTGGATGAAAGCTGTAAGCCCTGGCCAGGATCCCTGAGCCCAGAGTTCAGTGTTGGAGGCTGAGACCAGCTTTGGTTCTGAGACAGCCCCACGCTGCAGCCTGGGGCGCAGAGACCACCCTCTGCCTGCAGGCAGGCTGGGGCTGGCCACCCGTGGGTGGTGCAGCCTTGTCCTGGGCTGATGGAGTGGGAGCTGCAGCAGTCCCTGGGCTGGGAGGGGAGCCTGCTCTGGGAGTTGAGAGGGCTGTTTACTCTTTACACTCTGCCTTCTTGCTCTGCCAGCTCCTATCTGGTTTTATCCCTCCTTCTCTAGCTGCTGTCCACGCACCGAGCCTGGCTCTGCAGTACAAGCCCCTGGTATCCAGGGCAGAGCACTGTTTTGCTGCCCCTGACCAGGGAGGTTCTTGTAGGCAGACCTTCACGCTTGCTGCTTTGCACATTTTCTGGGTCCCACCAGCATATTCCCCTCCAAGAAGGGGTGCTCATCAAGGGTGCTTGTCTCCAAGCCCATGCTCTGACAGGCTGGAGCCCTGTGGGAGTGAACACCTCCCAGATGTGCCTGTCCCACACTGGGATTACATGTGTCCCTTCCCAGATCCACGTGGTTCACTACAACACCAAGTATGACAGCTTTAAGGAAGCAATGGTCCACCCAGATGGCCTGGCTGTACTGGGAGCCTTCCTGGAGGTGAGTCCTGTAGATCTGCCCTGGATGAGGTAGTAGCAGGGGAGAGTGTAGGCTTGGGGTGGGCAGTCAGGCACAGTTTTGGCAACTGGGAAAGGTGCAAATGCTCCTGGGAAGGAGAGAGAGGGCAGAGCAGCCCTGGTGGGAGGAAGGGGTCAGCAGGATACAGTACCCCTTGTACTGGTCATGACTGTGGGGGTCTCTGTGTTGCAGGTTGGGCCACGGGAGAACCCCTACTATCAGGAAATAATTAAGCATCTGTATGAAATCCAAGGAGAAGGTAAGGCCCCATCCCACCTTGTGCTTGTCTCAGGGCCTGCAGCCCCACAGAGAAACCCACAGCGTGGCAGGGAGAGACTGCAGCAGGTGTTTGCATGTGAGAAGGGGAGCACTGCACACCTTGTACAGAAACAGCTCCCCAAGGTGCCCTCTGCTCACATGTGCTTTCCCTGCCTCCAGGGCAAACCTGCTGCTCTTTCACAGAATAACAGGCTGGTTTGTGTTGGAAGGGACCTTAAAGATCATCTGGTTCCAACCCCCCTGCCACAGGCAGGGACACCCCCCACTAGACCAGGCT